AATTATTTACTACCTCAAATGAACCACGAAGTAATGTTATTTGAACTGTATGGAAACTAAACATGTCTGCGCAGTAGCAGCAATTGAGCTGCAGAAAGTGTAAGAAAAGTAGTTTTCAGAAAAAAAATCCAAAACTTGATTAAAAATCACATGCTCTTGCAAGTGAAAATACATATTTCTAAAGCAAATAAAAATTTACCTTCTATCCTCTTTAAAACAAGCAAACAAGGAGAAAAAACTCCGAGAACAGATTTATTCCACGTCACCTTCTCGGATCAAAACCCTAACAAAAATTAAATACAGGCAAATAGTCAAAATTTTTCAAGATTTTGAAAAATTAAATAGATCTTCAATATGAATTTTAAAGCAAATAACTTTAAAAAATTTTTGATTCAACCAATCAACTTGACTGACGGCAAGAAAATATGTGTTAGCTATTTTTTATTTTTTGCGCCCCTTTGAGACACATTCCAAAAAAACTTACACGGGGTCAAAGGCAATGCCATACCAAATCCCCGTGATTTCGATTTCTAAATTTTTCAAACTTTTTGGCAAAAGCCAATCAGTTCCGTAACTTTTTCGTTTTTTGAGTTTCGTGGAAAAACAGAATCACATCAAATTGATTCAAATTTTCAGAATTTTTGATGATAATCCTTTCACAATAAATTTAACCCAATTAAAAAAATTAAAAATATGTTTATTTGTTCCGCTGGATAATCTAATTTATTGAAGCTCACTTTCAAAAAGAGAACTAAAAAAAAAACCTTTTCAGTCATTTGGATTTTAATATTTTTATTTTCAAAAAAATATTATTCGCGAGTTTTGAAGTGAAAAATAATTTGGCTCTTGAAGCTCTTAAATTTTGAAAAACAATTAATGAAACCACTTTTTTTGAAAAAAAAACTCAATTTATGAAATTGGACCAATAAGTTAAGTTGAGTTTACACTGGAAAATCAGGAAAAAAAATCACTTTCAAAACATAAACTCTATCTCGTTGTTGGCAAACCACCAACAAACTTTATTATTCGATAAGGGAGTTTGCCTTCCTTCTAACTAAAGAATTGAAATGATGTTTGAAAAAAATCAAACTGCTTAAAATTCTAAATTGAGAATAACCAAACTTCATCTATTATTACAGAAAAAAATCATCACGAAATACAAAAGTGTCTTTACTACAAAATGAGTTGTCTTGAAAATTTATAGAAAATAATCGTACGAGAGTAATAAAAAAAAAATGTTGCCATTTGCTGGAGACAAAATTGCAATTTTACATTTTTGCGCTGCGTATCGTTTATTCTTTCTAAGCTTATGATTGAATAAATGAAACGCAGCGCCATGAGGCTTATAAGCAGCCTAAACAAGCACCGAGAATCACGATTCCACCGGCAAATAAGGCAAAAACGAAACTTTAGTCATAAATAATCTTATCTTCAAGCTGTAAAGTAATTTAAATCAAAATGTTTACCTTCTATCCTCTTTAAAACAAGCATACATATTTTCTCTAATTTGCCCGTAAAGCTAAGCAACACAAATTGATTAAGCCGAAATAATGTAGGCTGAATCTTTCGAAGTGAAAAAATATTTATTCAAAATCAGATTTTGTAAATTTACAAACTACGGAACACTTTTCAATTATAGGACCAGGAATTCAAAAAAAAAACTTGAGATAATTGTTTGATTTTTTTCATATCTTGTTGTACGGACGCAGAATAAAATGGGTCAAATTAAAATCGTTGTAATTGGCTTCCATACAAAGTCCTAATTGTTGCTTTAATGAAATAAATAAATACGAAATTTTTTGAGAAATCCGAATTTTCCCGAAGATGAAAATTTTTGGACCAACAATTTAATCGAGGCAGCTCAAGAGTTTAATCGAAGCTGAAGTTTTGGGAGGACTGCCGGCATTCGTTTTCTCCATTGACTGCAAAATCTCAGATTTGGGACTGTATTTTTTTGCGAAAAGTCAAATAATTAAAAAAAACGGTAAAAAAAATTAAATATATGATTTTGTGAGGGAAAAATTAGCATGGCCACTAATGCAGGGTAGCTTCACTCCACCATTGTTTTCGATTGAATCGAAACTATCAGATTTAGGTGCGTAGTTTTCGAAACAAGTCAAAATTTGAAAAAAGAAAACGATCAAAAAATCAGAATAATCCGAAGGCCATGGTTTTTTGTTGAAATTTGTTAGGGCGCAAACTTTCCATGGCCTTTTCTATCCATTGAATCTAAAATTGCAGACTTGGGAGGTTAATTTGCGATAACACAAAAAAAACTCTATTGAAAAACTCCCCCCCCCCCCTTCCCCCCCCCCCCATTCCCCGGATTTTTTAAGGGCTGTAGATAATGGGGTACAATAAAAACGGACTAAGCGTAAATGCAGACACGAGAAATGAGCGATCTCATCATTGATTCCAGTTTTTGCAAATTGAACATGTAGTTTTTGAGAAAACTGACAAAATTCTAGAATAAAAAAACTGAAAAATACAAACCAAATCTTATACAATTTCATAATATTTGTTTTTATTTAAATAAACCATTTAATTCTAAGTAAAAAACCTTAGCTTTGAAAAAAATAAATGCTTTAAAAAGCTAAAGGTAGGACGACAATAAAAAGTCCAAAAACTATAACACTTTTTCAAAAAAAAACAATTTAAAAAAATTAAATACAATTATTTACTACCTCAAATGAACCACGAAGTAATGTTATTTGAACTGTATGGAAACTAAACATGTCTGCGCAGTAGCAGCAATTGAGCTGCAGAAAGTGTAGGAAAAGTAGTTTTCAGAAAAAAATCCAAAACTTGATTAAAAATCACATGCTCTTGCAAGTGAAAATACATATTTCTAAAGCAAATAAAAAAAAACTGGCTATTTTTGTCCCAACCAAGTAACTCAAGTGATTCAAGGGAATTATGAGTTAATTATATTTATTGTGCCCAATGTAATACTGCAAAGCTCACTGCTGCGGGTGATTTAGGCTGCTGATCATTTATATGTTATTTGAGTTCATTGATACAGAAGAGAGAGAAACTACAATTGGCGAATGCAAGCAGCTAAACTAGCTCTAGATTGAGTTTTTTTGGTACCAATATTTGTTTTTTTTTCAGGAAACATATTTCAAAACCTTGCCTCACCTCTTTCTACGCGCAATTTCAAGCACAAAACGAAACAATTCAGATCTTTTCAGGCCTTACATAACCCATCAGTTTTAGGACTCTTAATTAGAATTATAAGATATTGTTAAAATATCGAATTTCGCGTGCAATAACTATTCCACAAAAGCCATATTCAGAGCCCCATAACTTCAAAAAATTTATCGCTGACGACATTATCTCTTTAATTTTAAGCTCAGTGTATCACCATTTTTCAAAACTAGTGATGCACTGAGCTCAAAATTAAAGAGATAATGTCGTCATTATGTGAATTTTATTTATCGTTATGTTTTTTCTCAAATTGAACTTCACTCGAGACAGACGTATTAAAATTTTTAAACCGTTTTCCAAAAATGTCCTGTCTTGATTTATTTTTAGGCATAATATTACTTTGTATCGCCAGTGGTTTGAATCACAAGAAAAATAATTTTTCACGTGATTCAAACCACTGGCGATACAAAGCAATATTATGCCTAAAAATAAATCAAGACAGGACATTTTTGGAAAACTGTCAAAAAATTTTAATACGTCTGTCTCGAGTGAAGTTCAATTTGAGAAAAACAAAACGATAAATATCATTTCCGCAGCTGAGTTCGTATTGAATTAAAAATTATCAAGCGGTAAGTTAGCAGACGACCGTTAAAAAGTAAGCCATCAATCAGAAACTTTCATGCTCCGGAAATTAAACCAATTTTAAAAAGCAGACCAACAATAATCCGCAAATATTTTCCCAGAAAAATGTTTTCAATTTTAAAATACTGCCTCTCGGTCCCAGCACCTTTGTCGTCCCAAGAAGAGGAGTTACCTCTGAGCTAAAAATGTTTGGATATGAATTCATTTGAAGCACTTAACATATCACCTGCGAATTCTGTTAGCAAAATTGTTTATGGGTTTAAAATGTAGTCCCTGTTTACAATACTCTTGCTTACTGCAAGAGCGATTGAAAAATAATAGTCACGAAATCCGCTTAATTTGCTTGTGTATTCAGGGACTTGCTTGCGGACTGTGCTCAGCTAGAAAAAGTTTTGCTGTAAAATAACATAGCCAACTGAGTTGGAAGAGTATTGAACGCAAAAAAACTTGTTTTTTTCCAAGTACTTTCAATTTTTGAATTTCGTAGACAAAAGTAGATGGCCTTAAAGCTCTGCAATTTTGCAAAACGATTTATAATGTACTTTTTTTTATTAAAAAAAGCACAATTTGAGAAAACTGGATCAATATTTAACTTTTATTTCGCTGGAAAATCTGATTACTTTCCAGTTTCGAAATCAGAAGCCGATCACGTTTTTCTTGTTCTTTACACTTTTGCTGTTCGATAGTTGAGTTTGTCTTCATTTTAACAATGGAAATGTACTGAACTTAAAAAGAAATCACAAGTCAAATCACGAAAAATCAAGTGAGACGATTAAACTTCAAGACTTTTTCCTGAAAAAAATCACCAAGACCTACATAATAGTACTCACTACGTTTTATTACTCTTAAAAACGCTTTGTTCGCAAGCAAATGCGGATGACTCTTGGAATTTTCTGTTTAGGATCCGACTCTCAAATCGATCGAAGCAACCGTGTCACCAGACGATCTGTAGCCATCTAACATCATGAATGCCCAAATTCTCATCAGGAACCATATTAACGGTCCAAAACTATACACCAAATATGATCCAAATTTTTACCTAAGTTAGTTTAATACAAAAACCTTCGATGTACATGAAACTTGGTTTAATTTAACTACTGTTTCACTAATTTCAAATAAAGCAAGGAACAATATTCAAGATATTAAATATTCAAGATTCCTGTTTTGAGATCTTTATCATAAAAACGTTCAAAAAGTGTGATTTAATTAAAAATAGCTTCCAAAATAAACATTTAACCCTTTTTATAAACGCAACAATAGTTACATCAGAGAAGCCAGAAGAAAAGTTCTCCCAGCAACAAACAAATAAGAGTTTCCAGTTTTTATTTATCTATCTTTCGCGTAACTCAGCACAGCGGGTAGTGCCATAGGCTGCCATTTAGTACCCCCTCCCCCTTTATTCACAAACAGGACTCCCTTGTCAATGCACACTTTGACAGTTCCCAAAGTGTACACCTGGCGCGAATCGTGAAATACTCCTGGAACAGGTGCGAACAGAAGGTTCAGTTCCGAGCATCTTCGTTCCACTAGGTCTCGGAAAGTGTCCAATTGCATCATAGATGCAGACGAGGAGTCGACACCTGATTGCTGTTGCAGTCGCAAGATGCTCTGAAACAAGATCAACTACCAGTTAGGACTTCAATGATGAAAAATAATCCCAATTCAAGAAAGCTGGATCAAAAGGTAACTGGGAAATATTGAAACTAAAACCCACTTTTGAAGCACAAGTCATGCACGCTTTTCTGCGACAGCTGCCGTTTTATATTGAGAGTATAATCTGCCTTCAATTAGCGAATTAATTTGAAATGAACTTGAAATAGCACAAGTTCAAGAAAACTTAATTCACTCTTCATTCACGCTTAAAAACTTAAAATAGCCAACAGACAGTTGGAAAAAAATCAATGGCTGCAAGCAAACCGAAAAAAAATACCGATTTACTTAAAAAAAAAACTCATCATTCGAACTTCAAAAGAACATATATGGCCTTAAAGCTCTGTGAAATACTTGAATGAATGATCGACGTTTTTTTGATAACATGAACCCAGAACTAGAAGTCGATCACGTTTTTCCAGACCTTTACAATTTTGCTGTTCGATAGTGGAGTATGCGTTCTTTACAACTAAAAAAAATAGAACAAGTAAACCGCGAACAAGTAAATTTGAGCCTGAACAAATTTTGACTTCTGAAAAAAAACGAACAAAAAATCACGACATAAACAAGATTCTGAACTACGCTTATCGACTCTTAAACATTGCAAACACGCCAAGGATTTCAAGGAAAGAAAAAAGTAATTTTTTACACAATTTTTGACTTTCGGAGACTAAATACATCACGTCGAAGATCTTTAGATGAAACAAGATCAACAGCTATTTTTTAATTCCGCAGAAAAATCTTTAAATAAAAATTCGTTTTCGAAACAAAAACTCGCATTTTTCTTAGCGCCACATGCTGTTTCCATTGGTATAAATTGCCTTCAAATTAGAAAATGAAACTGAGCTAATCCTGAAAAGCTAAGCCACACACCGCAAAAAAAAACAAATTCGAGCTTGATTAAACAAGGTTTTTACCTGAAAAAGCAGCACACGGCTGATTAAAGGTTTCGACCTGTTTATTGCTACAATAAAATCCAGGATCATAGCCGACAAAAAAAAAACATTCTAACGCTGTTCGATAGTGGAGTTTGAAATCCTTTTTGCCAAAGTCAATGATCTGAACCTAAGACAAACTTAAAAGTCAAGCCGCGAAAAAAAGTAAATTTGAGCTTGAAAAAATTTGAATACTTTTCCTGAAAAAAAAAACAAAAAAATTATTGCGACCCATGTAAGAGTCTGATCTGCGTTCATCGACTCTTAACAAGGTCCAGCTGTGAAACGAAACCCCGAACTTAAGGGTACAAAGGCGACCGCGTTACCTCTAAGCCCTAAGTGGGAAGGAGTCTCGATGCGCTGGCTGGTTGATTGTCTTTGAATTTAATAGGAAGCAAGACAAATATCTGCAAAGTTGTTCACGGGAGCAAAAAGCCTAGCACCCGGCTGCAACAACCTTGCTTGTCCCAAGGGTACTTATTATTCTTTTTAGCTAGGAACCATTAGTTTTTTCACTGCAATTGATGCATTTAAAAAGCATTAACTGTGTTAATTCATTGCAAACCAAAAGTAGTTACTTAGGTTGAAAAATTAATTGCATCGTACAATAAATCTACGCTGCACATGTGTAAAAGTTTGGAAAACCCCTTATCCTTCAAGAATTTCTATGCTTTGGAAAGTAAACTGACAAAAAACAAGCAGACAAACGAAAGTCCCAGAAATCTCTAACTCAATAGATTTATACAGGCAAAGCTGCGCTTCGCAAACATTAGCGAGAAAACGACAAAAAAGTAGCTTCATAAAGTGAAGTAAAAGAAAGTAGAAAAAAGCCTCGATTTGATAAAACTTCGCTGCGTATGTGATTCGAACCTGCGACTTCGAAATTAGGAGTCTCACAATCTGACCTCTCGGTCATGAACGCTAAAATATCGACAAACAATTAAAGCAGCTATATATGCTTATAAAATTGCCTATGCGATGCAGCAAAAATTCACCAAATACAGATAGACACAATTTTGCAAAAAAAAATTCGAAAACAACAAGCTGAATGCCTCCACATTAACTTTGCATGTAATAAATTGGAATACTTAAAGCCTAATTTTGTATAAAAAAATTAAGCATTTCAAAAAAATTGCGAGATAAATTGAGTTAAAAAAATTTCATGAAGTCATATTTTTATGATTGAAGTTGCTTGAAACAAATAGCTTTTTTCGGTTCTTCCTACAAATAAAAATACATCAGCTCTGTTAATTTTTCATAATCCACTGTCAAAGCACATTCTATCAAAAAGCCGTAGAGGTGCCACCAAAAGTGGCACCAATATTTGCGACTTAGATTGAAAAAAGGATAGTCGTACTATTACACTACGCTCGCAAGTGTAAAAAACAAGGACAGACCGGGATTCTAACTCTGTCGACTACCAGAGCAAATAAGAACGGCTTCGAAGTAAATGGAATTTCATTTAAAAAGCAGTCAATTTCTTACAAAATTGAAATAGTCGTGTACGGTGAAAAAGTTTGTTTCCCAAGTAACAAATACACATGCTCTCGCGTGGAAAAGACTAAAACTGAGGTATTGGGGGAAACAATTATCTACACAGAGGTGAAGGTTCGCTTCGCAAAAATACGCAAGAACATGATAAAAAGTAGCTCTATAAAGTGCTATAGGAAAAAGAAGAAATAAGCCTCGAATTAGTAACAATTTGGCTACATCTCAGATTCGATCTGCAACAGAGATTATGAGTATCACACACTATCCGCTCAGCCACGAACTCTTACTTATACTTATTAACAAACACTAGCCACAAAAAAGCAGCTAATAGATGCTATGAAACTTCTAATACTACAGATCTTGATTATAGCAGAAGTAAACCAAATAAGTGAGCACTTTTAATGAACACTTTTATTTGCGAGTTAGCTTAGAAAAAAGGAAGGTTCGTACAAATACACTACGCTGCCCGATAGTGTAAAAAGAAGCTTGGGGACACATGATAGAAATTTGTGGAAAGGGGGGAGAAGGAGGCTTAAATAACAAAAAAATATACACATGCTGAACTTTCTTGTTTTCAAAACGCTCAGGTCCTGATCGAGTTCGAACTACGGATACTTGTTCTTAGCAGGAAAATTAACAAGACGCCAAATGCAGAGTGTTATTTGACAGAATTTGATTCGATTATGATGTAGGTTATAAGATTCATTGATTATGTCAGGTCAAGAAAATCGGCGACTACGCGGTTAGAACCGCTGATCTCTCGACTAACATGTTTGTTTGCTGGAAAAACATCTAGTAACGCTTAAGAAGACACTTAATTTATCGTATTTATACCGTTTAATTACATCGCATTTTGTCTTGCCTTTACATATAAATACATACGTGCGGCACGTATCCGTCAGCAGCAGTAGCTGGCATATTGTAGTTATAGATCGGGTGATGGGCGCTGTTGTTGTATGGGTGGTACTGATGCTGAGGCATGCCCCCCATATTGTGAGTGGGCGGTCCTGGATGTTGTGGAATGGGGGTGACATACTCGTAGCCCATCACAGATGATCCAGAGACAGACCTGGTCATCATGTCCATTGCTTGCTTGAAAGAGGCTAATAAAAAATATCTTTCAAAAATAAGTAACAGGCAGTTAAAAAATTACTTTTCATTATAAATTTCAAGTTGAAGAAGAAAATAATTTTCTCTTTATTGCGACTGAAGACCATACTTTTGCTCGTACATTTCACTTAGTTCCAATATTGAAGCCAAATTCAACCCAGAGGCGAAGCTACGCTTCGCAAACACAAAGAAACGATTAAAAAGGCAGCGTAAAAAACTTTTCTTGAAATTAGGAGTATTACATATATTCTCATATCTGCACTACGAACGCTTGTAATTTTACTAACAATAACCACCAATAGAGCAGCTAGAACTTCTATCAAATTGCCACTGTTAAAAAAATTCGACCGAGAAAAAGAAAACTTTTTAAATATTCCTGATTTGAATATCCGACACGTTGTTAGGAGTCTCACGTCCTCGCATCTGCTTATGCTGAATCTACCTGTTTATGCTGAATCTACCAGTTATAATATCTTTAATCATATATTCTACTGATACAGAAATGCGTAAATTTAAAAATTTCAAAAAATGGACTTGACACTAAACTCTTGTTTCTCTGCTTAGGTAGGGGATAAACAGCTAATTTAAAGAAATCTAATACTCGCGCTTTCAATTGAAGTTTTGATCTCAGAATTTAGCTCGGTAGTTTTCAAAAAAAAAGTGAGAAAGATTCCAAAAATTGATCAAAAAGTTTATTTTTCCTAAGTTCATAAACTTTTCTCTACTAAAGCATGGGAATTAAGGCCTTAATATGAGATTTAGCAAGTAGTTTTCGAGAATTGACGAAATTTCTATCAAAAACAATAAAAAATTAAAAAGGAACTTTTTCAAAGTCCATATCAGCTTTTCAACAAAAAAAACAGGTTAAAACAGATTACTCGGGGAAATCTAAGTTCTAATGAACTATCGACCTCGGAATCAGTAGGTTAGTTTTTGAAAAAGTAACGTAAGACAAAACGGGCAAATTTCAAAATTTGGACATTTTCTAAGGCCATATTTTTCTTTCAAAAACACAGGGCATAGCCGCTTGTGCATTTAAAATTCGCATAATTGATTTTCTTCTTTCGGTTAAGCCCTTTATCACTGATTTGGCAGGGTAGATTTGAGAAGTCAAAGTTTTAAAATTAATCAAAATGTCAAAAAATGGGCTTGTTTGAGGCCATACATTTTTTTCTACCGAATTTAAAGAATAGCCGTTTAAGAAAGGGAGATCCACATAACTTGTTCTTTTGATTGAACCCCTCATCTCAGAATTGTGCATTTAATTTTTGAGAAAATAAAAAAAACTCAAAACAAATAGGCCAAGTGAAACTTTCGAGAATATGCTGGCACAAGAGCCGGTTTTCTATTTTAACCATTTTTTTGAGAATATGCTGGCACAAGAGCCGGTTTTCTATTTCAACCATTTTTTTGAAAATCGGTAAAGTAGTGTTTGAGAAAAACTGAAATTTCTGCGAAAAGTGCAAAAACTTTCCAAAGCGTCGCAAAAAAAACGAAAAACACCAAATCCCATACATTTTCATAGTAAATGTTGTTTTCAAACAGGACATAGCACTAGCCAAAAATAAAGCAGCAACATATTCCATTAAATTATTTACGCATAAATAAGCTTAGATATGATTAAATTGAAATATACCAAAAGTACCACCAAATGAACACTTTTACTTGCGACTTAGCTTTTTTAAAAATCTTGGTAATAATACACTACGCTTAGCTTGAGTAATTATGCTTTGGTAGAACTGAATATATAGGTGAAGTGAGAGCTCGTCCTCCCGCACATTCATTGCCATAGTAGGGTAGCGAATACTTGCTCTAATATCTCAAAGCGAAATTTATTAATGACAACCTCGAATAGAAACCCAAGCCTACAGAAAAAAAAATCATACAAATATGAAAAATTCGCTTCGCCTAGAAGGGCCACTTATTTGGATCTTAATTTCTTTGAAACTGTCCAAAGAAGAAGAAACTTGTCATTTGAGCCTGTTAATAGTGTGCTTTTATGGTCACAAATTGAATGAAAGTGACCTTTGGTTTCGTTGAGAGCTAGAAGTTGAATAGGGAACTCATTCCGCCATGCTCTGTACCATTTCTCCACCTCATCGAAGTTGGGCTGGTTAGACAGCCAGACACAGAGACACTGGATCCATTTGGGGAAGAAGTGAGCCACTAATATCTGACTCAACTGGTGCAGAGAGAGGAGGTCGTGCCAGATCAACACAGATCGAAGCAGTTCTTAAACAAATTCATCGTCGGATACTCAATTTAAAATTGCATGCAGAGACAAAAACCGCAAGAATTTTCAGAAAAACTAGGAGACTAATTTTGCAATACATAGTCATAATTCTTCTTACAACTTAAATTTATTAATCGAACTTCAATCTCTATTAAAGCTGGAAATAATTCAACAGCTCACTCAACCTCAAGGAATTTTCTATTTAAATTAATACAAAACACTTTAAATGAAAATCATTTGGCACCTTGATTAGTAAAATATAAAGAAGTACCTCACGCCAATTTTAGCATACTATCAAAACTTAATTTTGTATCAAGCATGAAATTGATAATGAACAAGCGAATCAATCCAACAAGCAAACCGTTCGGTCAAAAAATTGCGAGCAAATGAAAAGTTGCAAAACCAGCGATTCAATTACAAACCGATTCCAGAACTAGTATTGTCCAGTGGCATTAGGTGAAGAGCCATCTTCAACTTAGGGCAAATCGCTTTAATCAGGAATGCTTCCATCTCTCCCTTCGAAAACACATCCCTCCAAGGTTCGATGATCATCTTCGCGCTTCTGTCCGTCGGATCCCAGTTAACGAGACATTGGGCCAACTTAGTTCTGATAGTCACAAACAAAGGTTGCAATCTGTCGCCCAAAAGCGGCAACCAGGGGTGGATCCAGGAATGAACTGGAACTGTATCCGAAACTGGGTTCCATGAATCCAGGGCTTCTTGAAGCCTCGGAATGAGAAACTGTTCCACGATGTTGATGAATATGTTTTTGGGCAACAATGGTGACCATGCTTCAAGAATTTCTATGAGACGCTCACTTGAACGAATTGAGTTTGATCTAAACTCAAAATCAGTTCGTCTATATGATTCAACTATGGTCACATAAGAACAAAATTTTCACATTTTAAACATCGAGGCGATAGAAAGCAGGTTGCTATACCAGAGGCCCAAAATATTCCGACAACAGTTATACACAGGAAGCAACTAAAAGAATATAGCCAACAGACAGTAGTAAAAGAGTCAATGAACGCAAGTAAACCGGAAAAAAATACGACGGACTTGTTTTTTGAAAACTTTCGAATTTGGAAGAAAAAAAAACAGACGCCATTAAAGCTCTTTGAAATTTTAGATCAATTTATGAGTGGCACATTTTCGGCAAAATTGATCCGATTTGAGAAAACTGGATCAATAGACAATTTTTCCATTTCGCTTGGAAATCTGAAAATTAAATTCCATTTTTGCAACTAGAAGCCATCACGTTTTTCGAGACCTTTACACTTTCGCTGTTCAATTGTGGAGGAAGGAAATCAGCTGAGCTCAACTGAGCTTTTAAGAAATGAAATCAACTGAGCTTAAAAAAAATAAACGTCAAACCGCGATAAAGTATATTTGATAGTAGTATTGTAATCCGCCGTGTGTCCTTAGGGGGGGGGGGGTCTTTTCGACGGTAGGGGTCTTTGGGGTCCTACCAAAAGTAGGGTCCAAAAGGACCCATCTTTTTTAAAGACCCCAAAGTACCCTGCCCGAAATAAAAAGACCCCTCTCTAAGGACACCCGACAGACAAAATACTTTGGTATTATTTTCGCGCGGTGGTTAAATTTAATCCCTTCCAAACTTTCCCACCACTAAATAAGTATGGGTATATCCGGCTGCGGTTTTTTCGCTTATTTTTATCTAAAAGCTAATCCTTTTCGTTCATATAAATATGAGTTTACATAAAGTACCATTCATATTTCCTTTTAAAAATTTTTGGTAATTATTGTTCGTTTCTCTTTCTTATTTTATTTTCAAACTTATTTCCAAGTCTCCCTTAATTTCGACTTGCACCATTTTGATTCTTTTAGCCTTACTATTAGCTTACTTTGGGAAACTTCGCTCCTGCTTCAATCCTTCGCTCCTGCTTCAAGGGTAAGTTGCAATTACCAGTCTCTTTTGCGCCGGTCTATTTAACTTAAAACAATGTTTGCTGAATGTTTTATATTTACAAATGTACAGCCGTAATTCCAAGTAACAAGGCAATTTGGCCGACATTTTCAAGTGAAAAATTTTATTGATCAACTTTATCAAGTTTTCTCCTTTTTTTCTGACTAGAACGAACAGACGCTTCTGTTAGAATGAATGGATTATTGATAGGCGGAGGGTCTCTTGAACTGCTAGCTGCGCTTTCTTCTTGAAGCTCTTCCTCCGTATAGCTTTCTTGAAGAAAGCCCCAATCTGGGACCCGGAATTCCGGCGATTGCCAGCTTTCGCTGCTATAAGTCGGGGTATTTGTCAACTGTGAGTTTGCCCACTCGCTTTCTTCCGCAATGGCCTCGAAGAACACATTTTCTTCTGTAGACCTGTGTCCAAAGGGCAATGTAGCTATCCCGTCGAATAGTAAGAACCGCTTACTATCGAAGGGTGAAAGGGCAATTCGGTTCTGCGCTATGGTTATGTTGGTATGGGCTTTCGATTTTATTGAGTAGTTGTATATACGAAGGGTTTTTCCACTCAGTAATGTTTCCCTGAACCTCTGGTGTGTAAGTTGCTGCTGGGAGTGTTGTACTACTCCTTTTGCACTCCTTTTGCTAGTTGAATCTAAATAAAGAACAAAGATTAGCCCATAAACATATTTTAGCTTTGTAAGACCAGTTCTAGTATTAATAACGAAAACGGTTCCCAAATTTGAATATTTTGAAGACTCAATATCTAATAACATTCCAATTTTTTCAATTCCAAAAAGTTTAAATATCTTAATTCATTCCAAATCATAAAAATTCCAAAAAGTTTAAATATCTTAATTCATTCCAAATCATAAAAATTCCAAATCGTGTCATTATCAAAAAATCATTCCATGTCAAAATTTTAAATTTGTTAACGTCAAAAGTTACAAAAGTGCGTTTGTGGTGAGTATTTGTTTAAAACATTTTAAATGATGAATGGTTCTTCATTTTAAGTTTTTAAATGAAGAATCAGAGCCTTTCAGGGCTAGTTATGTCTAATTAAATTGACAGGGATCAACAAAAGTTATTAATTTGGTCCCAACAAAATCCAAAACCCCAATGAAGGGAACCCTTAATGTAAAGAAATGGAGGGGACTTGGAGAGGTGCTTTTTTTAAATACTAACCTGCATATTTCAACGAGTAGAGCTTTGGTTTCAACGCGATGAATTCTGCAATGATTTTTCCCGCCGCCTCGTCCTTAAATTTCAATACAACCTTCTTATTCACATTGCTGAATAAGAAGTGATTGCTTGGGTAGTTGGAAAAATCGAAACTATCGGTCAGTTTTTGCAGATCTGCGTATACGTCTTCGGTTTTTATCGCATAAATAAACGAATCTGTGTCACTGTATAGCAGTTCAAGGTTCATGCTTGCTTTCATTTGCCGATAATGAAAGTAAAACATGAATCTTTTCGACAAATCCAAAATACTTGCACCAATTATCATGGGTTTGTCCCACAAAATACTCGTTACAGCAAAACAAACAGTAGCAACTTCCTCGTCGATTATCTGGAAGCTTTTCATCGTGTTCAAAGCTGTTTTTTGAAGCAATTCTCTTTCATTTCTAATAATTTCTAGTTTTTTGCGTCCTAGTTTTGATTCCATAGTTTTACCGAATGCTGAATTTACGATGAGCTTGTAAAAGTTCTCTTCAAATTTGTTGCGCGCTGACATTCTCAATTGAGTGTTTAAATCGACAAAGGGCTCCATCCATCTACCTTGACGAAATTTCAAGACCTTAATCAATTTGGTAACTCTTAAGCCTAGTTCTATGTAGAGTTTTAATGTGAGGTAGTGCAGAACGTAGCCTTCCTTTGGATCTAATGTTTGAACCAGTTTTGGTACCTTTGGTAGCGACGTGACCCCCATCTCCCCTAACATCTGTATTTGCTCATTACTTAGTTTATCCGTGCCGATAACTTCACGTGAGGGGGCTAGAGGGTAGTCTGCAAAGTAATCTTGAAGTTCTTCAGGTATACTGAGATCCACTTCCAAAATGTATCCCCACTCAGATTTATCGTCGGTTTGCAAAATAAATTCGAGACTTTCCTCAACTATTGAGAAATCTTTGATGGGAAGGGGACAGTGTTTCATAATACCCCCGTATAAATTGTTAGCGTCTATATTCAATAGATAGCTAGAGGGCTCTTCAGGATTGTAGTCTTCGATGTATTTGTTGTTGGCTTTAAAAAAACGGCGTGCATATATCGATGACATCCCTCCCCGTATCATTTTTTGAACCATGTTCAAATGCTCCCTTTCAGTAAGTAACTTGAGGTCTGCATTGCAGACTTTTAAGAATGCATCGCCCGAGAGGTTACTAGCCGTGAAGTAGCATGCACAATCTAATCCGTACGTTTCGTAACAAACTTCACGAAAGGCTTCGAATACTGAAGCGAGTAGTAGTACGTCCGTTGCTAGGTATACATCATGGTACTCGCCTAGTGATGCGCATTTCATTTCGGCGAAAACTTTAATGGCATGGTTGTACTGATTTTTCGAAACACTTATTTCCCCTCCCTGTAAAGTGTTGCTCCACATTTTTCTAGGTGGCAGTCGGGTTTCTCGAAACTTTTCAAAACTACTAAAGTATGAATACGGGTAGAAACCTTTTTGTTTTAGCAATGCTATCTGTTCTGATGAGTAACCAAGTTCTTCAAAGTAATTTTCTAGTAGGAAAAACTTTTCTTCCGGCAAGTATTCGACGAGTTTTGAAAGGGGGGACAGCATGAATTTATAGGAGTCTATGAAACGTAGATTTTCATACACTTTTTTGAGTTTTCCGTTTTTATCGGTGTATGATTTGATATAAACCGACATAGTGAGTGATATATACTTCTCCTCAGTGGAAGGGATCACTGAGTAAGTGTTTTCGAGGTTACTGTTTGAGAGCGCTTTTATAATGAAATGCAGATCATAGTTTGACAAGTTATGCGCTATTACGGGTATATAGTTCGCCGTTTTTCGATTGATATTGCATTCGTTATGCGCCCACCCCAAGAACTTGTTGGTATAGCGACAGTGATCAAGTACAACTTGGTCATTGTCAGCAAATTCTGTTTCACATATCCAACAAGTGTGCGCTTCTTCACGCGTGCAACTTGGTGTGCCAGTGAACGTGTAATATTTTCGTTTTTCGAGGTATATTTGTTTTGCCAAAGATTCGAGCGAGGCCATCAATTCCTTCATAACATTTTCTCCTCTCTTCAGTTCAAACTTTAAAACTTCACGCTTCCCAAATTCAACAACGACCAGAGCGTAACCGCATGGTTGATGAATCTCTAGTGTTTGGGTGCTAGATTTTTCGGGGTCGGGTTGCGGTCCGTATACGGGTAGTAGTAGCGATTCGAGGTCAAAGTAAATAACTCTCGGTACATACCAGCGGGCAGTTAAATTTTTGAAACGATGAGTGTCCTTTCCCGGTTTTGGCATAGTGATTACCACTCCCTCGTCTTGGTAGCACATTTCCTGGTGCCTTTGTAGTGTATCGATGGATGAACATGTATGGAAGCATTTGCGGCAAATTTGGTTTCGGTCTCGGTGTAGTTTTCCACGCACATATTCCACCACCCTCATCAAATCAGTGATCAGCACATAGTGATGAGTCTGTCCGTTGCTGAGTAGTAGTAGGTCAACACATAGATCACTTGAGTATTTGCTGGACACTCTCAAAGGTAGCAATTCACCTTCTTTGTACCTAATGAAAACAAACAATTGAGTGCTCGGGTTTCTGGATGAACGTAATGTGTTATACATGATTAAACAAATGTTTTGTCAAAAAAAAATCAATGCTCACCGGAATACATTGACTTGACAGTTGTTAAGTTGTTCAAATCGGTCAATATCATATAGTCCCATTGGCATCTCGTACCAGCCTTCAATTTTCACAACATGTTCTTGGGAGAGCTTGTAATTTTTCAGTTTGTTTCGATGTTGGTAGCTTTGGGCAGCAGGATAAAGAGCAGTTGTGGTCTCTGAATATCGATCATGGTACGCGGCCACAAAGCAGTATAGAAAGCACTTCTGATCGTTTCTCGTTTTAATGTTGGTGAAACTCTGTTTCACCGGTTTCAATGAATCGGGAAGGTCAATGTATGAGCCAGCACGGATAGGAGAAAATGCTG